CAGGGAAGGCAAGGCAGAAGTCAAGGCAGGAACTCGGAGCAGAGACCACGGAGGAATGCCACTTCCTGGCTTGCTCCTCTGGCTCAGTCAGAAGTTCTTCTGTACAACTCTATGTAACTCCAGCTCCAGGGGATCCAGCACCTCTGCCTTCTTTGTGTGCCTGTACTCATGTGCACATAGCCATACTCAGCACTCACATACACATAATTAAGAAAGAAAAATCAATCTTCAAAACAGAGTACCAAAACTCAGTTCCCCAACATCTACATCAGGAGGCTCAGAGTCATCCATAACTACAGCTCCAGGGGATTTCAAGCTCTTTTTCTGACCTCCTTGGGCACCTACAAGCATGTGGTGTACACATACATATACACTAAAATCATTAAAAACGTCTTCCCCGATTCAGGCAGTTTAGATGCAGAGTAGTTCCTGATTACACTGAGCTGTTGTCTGCATGCCGAATCATAATTTTCTTTTCCTCTGTATCAAATGATGGACCTCGCAGGGATTTTCTATTACTTCTGACCCTGCCCCACACTGTCCAGTTCTTCCTGTTGGTTCTCAGTTTTCAGATCCTAGACGAGACCCTTTATCACAATCTATTTTGTACTCTTGTCCTTTTTTTAGAAACAGAAAACTGATAACTCCATTTCACCCCTGTCCCCGCCCCCTCTTCCAAAAACATTTTTTAAAAAAAGACTGATATTCACTATGTAGTCCTGGCTGGTCTGGAACTCAATATATGGACTAAGTTGGTCTCAAACTCACAGAGATCTGCCTGCCTCTGACTCCCTGGTGCTGGGATCAAAGGCATGCACTGCCTTATCTGATTCTTCATTTTCCGGATAATTCAGAAGCTAGTGAAATTCCTCCCTTATGTGGGTATCTCATTTCTGAGAAGATAGCTAGCTGCATGTCTTATGGCAAAATCCACATAACCTGATGCCACAATCTGCCTACAATCCCATCCCATGCGTTCTAGTTTCAGAGATTGTAATATATTCTCTCTTTGGGTTGGAGAGATCGCTCAGAGGTTAAGAGCACTGGCTGCTCTTCCAGAGGACCTGAGTTCAATTCCCAGCAACCACATGGTGGCTCACAACCGTCAATAATGAGGTGTGGTGCCCTTGGCATGCAGGTGTACATGCAGACAGAACACTGTATATATATATTCTCTATTATGTCAGTCATTGGAGGGTGGTATTCCTGTACTAGGCCCCATTTATCAAGAAGACATGTACTTCATACCATATAGGTCAGATGTTTTCAACTTATGGGTCACAACCCTTTTAGGAGTTGAATGACACTTTTACAGGCATCAAATAAGACCATTGGAAAACACAGACATTTAATTATGATTCATAAGAGTATCAAAATTAGTTATGAAGTAGCAACAAAAATAATTTTATGGTGGGGTGTGGTGGTATTGTGTTCCCTGAAATATTGTGCATGCTAATAAACTTATCTGGGATCAGAGAACAGAACAGCCACTAGATACAGAGGCCAGAAAATGGTGGCACATACAACTTTAATCCTAGCATTCCAGAGGCAGAAATCCCTCTGGATGTCTGAGTTTAAAGCCACACTGAAAACAGCCAGGCATGGTGACTTCTTTAATCCCAAGAAGTGAGCCTTTAATCCCAGGAAGTGAGCCTTTAATCCCAGGGAGTGATGGCAGAAAGCAGAAAGGTATATAATGCGTGAAAATCAGAAACTAGAAGCATTTTGGCTGGTTAAACTTTTAGGCTTTTGAGTAGCAGTTCAGCTGAGATTCATTCTGGACTCAGAGGCATCCAGTCTGAGGAAACAGGATCAGCTGAGGAATTGACACGGTGAGGTAGCTGTGGCCTATTCTGCTTCTCTGACCCCAGATAAGTTTATTAGGGTGCACAATATTTTGGGGAACACAATATCACCACAGTGGGGGGTCACCACAACATGAGGATCTGTATTGAAGGGTTACAGCATTAGGAAGGTTGAGAACCACTGTTACAAAGATAGTTACTGAGGGATTCTTCCACAAATACTCCACCTTCACAGGGAGCTCAGTTACATGTCTTATCACCCACAGCAGGGACAAAGCAACGGCACCATAGGGAGAAGACATTTCATTCCATACCCCATGAAAAGTATGGTCATATCAGAACTGTTCCCAGGCCAGCCCCACCCTCAGATGGTTTAGCTTCAGCTGCAGGTCTTATCACCCACAGCCGGGACTATACAATTTATTCCTCCCAAACTCATCTGTGATTCTCTTCCTCAACTGTTCAGGTACCAAGTGCTGCCTGACTTTTCCTGGGGAGATGTGAACAAAACACACATACATCCTAAAGAAGGCATCAATGGCAGACTAAACAAATGAGTCCACCCATGTCTAGCTTGAGCCAATGAGTAACTAAGGGTTGCTTACAAGAGACTGAGTGAGGGATTACTTACAGGAACCTGGGCAATTTATGGCAGTTCCACCACTCAAGAGTTTCTGCCCTCCTCCAGCAATTAACTACTTATATGTCCTTGAGTAGAGGAAGGGCATTGTACACTGACTCCTGATATTATCCACCGGTGGACCCAATCTTATGAGAGTCTTATGTAGATAATCAGAGCTGCTTTGATTTGAAGATGGCACAGCATGTCATGCCTGGAGGACAGAGTTCTACATATGTGGATAGTAACTAAACTCTGGTCAGTAGAACATAATTGGGAAAATCCTATGATGTGTCCTATGACAAGGAGACTTACCTTTGCTTTTTCAGCTTTGGTGGCTGGAATATGGATACTGGGTTGGGGAAGGGGATATGGATACAAAGTCTGGTGGTCTTCAGAAGCTATTTTGGAAATAGGTAAAAGCCATTTATTGAACACTGAAAGGCACCAAGAAGAAACCTAGTCCTTGAAGTTGAATGTAGCCTGATTTACTATAAACTGTACATCTCTGGATTTCTTATATGGCAGAGTCTCACTCTGTAGCTCTGGCTGTCCTGGAACTCATTCCGTTGACCAGGATGGCCTCTTGAACTCCTAGAGATTCACCTGCCTCTGCCTCCTGAGTGCTGGGATTAAAGTTGTGAGCTAGCATGCTTGACTTTTTTTTTTTTTTTTTTTTTTTTTTGCCAAGGCTGGCCTCAAACTCACAACAATTTCCCTGCCTCCATCTCCTGAAAGTTGGGATTAAAGGTGTGCATCTTCATGCCTGGCCTTTTATTCTTTTTGTTTGCTTATGTCCAATAAGACCTAATCATAAATAATAATGTTATAACTGCCTTTACTCAAGGGTAACAAATACCTATCACATGAAAAATATTTAAGCCGGGTGGTGGTGACACACACCTTTAAACCCAGCACTTGGGAGGCAGAGCCAGGCGGATCTCTGTGAGTACAAGGCCAGCCTGGGCTACAGAGTGAGTTCCAGGAAAGGCGCAAAGCTACACAGAGAAACCCTGTCTCAAAAAAACAAACAAACAAACAAAAAACCAAAAAAACAAAACAAAAAAAAGAAAAATATTTAGAAACAACATACAGTTTCTACAGTGTAGAGTTTGGCCAGTACAATAGTTAGAAACAGCTACTAATCAGATATGGTGGCACATGCCTGTAATTTCAAGAAGTGGGAGGCAGAGGGAGGAAGATAATGAGTTGGAAGTAATATGAACTACATAGTGAGATTCTGTCTGAAAAATAACAACAAGCAAGCCAGGCATGGTTGCTTATAATCACAGCACTCAGGAAGCTGAGACAAAAGAGTTGGCTTGAGCTTGAGGCCAGCTTGGGTTTCATAGTGAGTTCCAAGCCAGCCAGGCTTCCAAGTGGAGAGCCCTGTCTCAATCCTCAGGCACACCACCTCCCCGCTAGGTGATGCATCCCTGTAATTTGCAGTACTTGGAACACGGAGGCAAGAGCATCAAAAATTCAAAGTCATACTAGGCTACACAGAATTCAAGACCAGAGAGGGCTACATGAAATCTTGTCTCTAAAAACCAGTTAGTTAACTAACTAGCTAGTTAGCTAAAAGCACATTTGTGGGCTGTGGTTTTGGATCTTTGTAAGAAAATAAAAGAGAAGTATGTGCACTTTAAGAGAGAATAGAATAAGCCGGGTGGTGGTGGCGCATGCCTTTAATCCCAGCACTTGTGAGGGGCAGAGGCAGGCAGATCTCTGTGAGTTCGAGGCCGGCCTGGGCTACAGAGCTAGTTCTAGGATAGCCAAGGTTACCCAGAGAAACCCTGTCTCGGAAAAACCAAAGAAGGGGGAGGGAGGAAGGGAGGGAGGGAGGGAGGGAGGGAGGGAGAGAGAGAGAGAGAGAGAGAGAGAGAGAGAGAGAGAGAGAGAGAGAGAGAGAGAGAGAGAAAGAGAATTAATAACAATACGGGAACTTTCCCCTCCCACCTTAAGGTTTCCCACCTTTTCTTGGATTTGCTTGTAACACTGGAGCATTCATAGAGATTGTTCACTGTTTTCTTCATTTGCTTCTCTCTTATTTCATGCACCTTACAGCAAGAGCAGAAACCAAGAGTCAAAAGAGGTGAAGTCATTTGTTCAACTGGCATAACTAGTGTGAGAAGTCTGTAAGTGTAAAGCAGTCGTTGAACTATTAAGATGAGTTTTATTCTGCTATGATTTGATCTTCAATCAATAAGCCCACAAAAGACTAACTCTTTTTTTACTTAAGACCTTAAGACAAAGTCTTAAATAGTTGAGGTTGCCCTAGCGCTCACTCTGAGGATGACTTTGAACTCCGAATTCTCATGCCTCCTCTTCCTAAAATGCTGGGACTACAGGCGTGCACCAGTCTCAAAACTTTAGTTCTCTAAATTACTTAAACACTCAGCCACCAACAGAAAGTGGCAGAAACATAGTTTACTCTACGCTATAATTTATGATCTGGATTTGTTTATTTATGCCTAGGACAGCAGCCGGACTTGCAGCAAGAGCTGAGCAATGTTTCGGCACTCGGCTGCAGTTCCTTGAACGATTGCTGGGGCGCTCTTCCTCTGATGTCTGGGCGTTCGTGTGTTCTGTGATCTTTTGCGGCGTCTTCTTGGTTGATGTCTCCAGAGCGGCGGCGGCGGCGGCGGCGGCGCCCGTTCCTGAACTGAGTTATTCCGGAGGCCCCGGGCTCTGGCCGCTTTCTCCCGCCGGTCGGTCGTGCGGATCCCTCGCTTCCTTCGGCCTCTGCCCGTCTCCCGTCCGTGGTTCGTTGCGCCCGCTGGCCTTCGGGCCGAGCCCTCACCCGTCTCTCAGGTAGGCCCGGGAGGAGCCTGGGAGGCCCGGGCCGGCATCCTTCCGCTTCGGGCAGGAGGAGACCTTGGCGCCGGCCGGTGGGCGAGCGCGCGGGCCGCTGGGCCGCTCAGCGTGAAGGGGGTTGCGCCCGGGGGCGCGGCCGGAGGGCGGCCCGGAACTCAGTAAGAAGCCGGAAGGAGGGAGAGATGCTGAGGCTGCCGGCAGGGTTGTGTAGAGAGGGGATGTTGGGTCCTGGACGGCTGTCGTCACCCCTAGATTGTGGGAGCGTGGCTCTCTTGGACCCTATTCCCTCTCTCCTTTTCCCCAACTCAGGGCCCGGATGTCGTGCCTCAGTTGCTCTGGGCACCCCCACTGAGTCCAGTCTCCGAGGGCCCTTTTGAGTCGCTGGAGGCTTGTGAAACAAGGCCCTCTGGCTTGTTGGAATGAAATGTCACGTTCCAGCCTTTTTGGGGTAGGGAAACTGAGGCTGAGGTGTGGGTCGTGACTTTTCTTTATAATCCCGACAGAGCATTAAATGCATTCTAAGTTTCTTTTTGTCCTTCTTTTTCTTTTCTTTCTCCCATTTTAACTAGTCACTTTTTACATACAGTGATTTCTCATTTGATCGCTTGGAACTCCTCTTTCTTAGAAACATATGTTTTGTCACCGGAGGCTTCAGAAGTTAAGGAAACAAGTTATTTTTTTGTTTCTGGATTTGTTTTTTCAAAGTTTGTATCATTTTAGCAGAAGTAGCAAAGATAATTTTGTTCGCTTCCATTTTCCTTCTGATTGATACCGATCCATCTTCGGCCCTCTTTGGAACTCTTTCTGCTAAGGTGTTAAGTCTTAGTGCATGGTGGAAAATGGTTAAGACTTTGAATTCAGGTTCCTGTCTTGTCAAGGTCTTTTCTAGGAGGTATCCAAAGGGAATCTAAAGAGTCTCTTTTGAAACAGTTTTTGTTTTTGCTTTTCATATTTGGTTAGGGTTTAGTCACTTTATATTCAGGAGTTCAAGTCTGTGTGTAGAAATTATTCAAACATAATTAAATTGAAGATGAAACTTCTGTGAATTTCATTATGTTTCTCTTTTCTTTCTCAGCTTGGAAACATTAAGGTCTAAGTGTGTTTGTTAATTTCATTTTCATTGGATCAAGTGTCATGATCCTAATCTGTCATTCTTTGTTGAAATAAAAAGAAAGGTTTGGAGATCATTCTAGGTTGGATAAGTTTCCACAGTATGTAGAATTCGAAGGACAATGACTTCATGGGAGTACAGATTGTGAAAGTCTGTTTCTACACAATTTTGGATGCTTTTTATAAATTTTAGGGGAATGATAATAGACTTTTATTGTTTCTTTAAGTTTTTAAAATGTGTGTGTAAGGTCAGTGAGATTTATTATTCTTTTCCTTCTTTTGTAGTGCTGGGAATTTGAGCCCAAGGCCTCATGCATGTGCTCTGCCATGGAGCTACACCCCTAGCCCTGAGATCAGCAAGATTTAAATGAAGGTTATTTATTTATTTATTTTTATTGTGTGTCTGTCTGTCAGTCTGCACATGGGCATGCCATGCCATGCATGTAGATGTCAGAGGACAATTTCCAGGAGTCAGTTCTGTCCTTCCACCGCACGATTCCCAAGTGAATTCCGGTTGTCTGGCTTGACAGAAATCCCCTTTTATCTTCTGAGCCATTTCGCTGGTCTCTTTGATCATGAACAACTTCTTAGTTACCAGGATCTTATGCTTTTTATAAGGGATTAGTGAAGAACCACTAGACTATCTTGTGTGTAGACTCTAGATTGGGTAATTAGGCTAAGATTATATATTCTTTGAAACAAACTTTTATGATAGAAAAATGTATACCAAAGCAAAGAATGTAGAGGCAGAAGTAACATTGTCTACTGGACTTGATAGGTCCTGCATGGAATTTATAGTTGTAAGTGGTGTCTTAGTGACTCCAAATGAATGCCAGATAAGAAATGGAGATTGCTATGTGTGTCATGAAGAAAAAGGTTGGAAACATTTCTATGTTTCTCTAAGAAATAATTGGCAGATAAAGAACTCGGTGGTGGGTGAGGTCTCAGGAATTGAGACTCCTAAGCTCCTCTGCTTTTTTCTACAAGTTTTACTTGATTAATTATTGTGTACTTTCTTTGTTTATTGCTACTTTGTTTTTTTTGAGGTAGGGTCTCTTGTATCCCAGGCTAGCCTCAAATTTACTGTGTAGCTGAGGTTGACCTCGAGTTCCTTGATCCTCTCAAGTAGAGATTACCAGTGTGAGCCACAACTTGAAGTTAAATCTTGGGATCAACCTACGTCAGATTGGGCGGTCTCCTGACATTTCAGAAATGTTCACATTATGACTGAATTATTCTATATTTTGGTAAGATGGTTCTTGGGGATAATTAAGAGATGGAGGCTTCAAACAGGTGTGGCTGTACATACTGTAAATTCCAACACTCCGGAGACTGAGGCAAGAGGATTGTGAGTTCTCCTGTAGTCTGGTCTACATACTGAGTTCTAGGTCAGCCTGAGTTACATCCTAAGGCTGTCTCAAGAAACAAACAAAGAAAAACAACAATGAAACACAAAACACAAAAAATGAAAGCCTTTGAATGTTTTCTGGACTGTGGTCTGGACCACAGTTACTGAAATAAACTGCTTATTTTTTACTAAAAGAGCAAAAGCTTATGTTTTTATACTGTGTAGTTTGTAATGTATTTTCAGTGTATGTGAGGGAAATAAGACTTTCATTCTTTTGGTATATTAATGCTGAATCCAAACTTTTATGGACTTCATTTAGTATCATCATGAATGGGACAGCTTAACTCAATAATTTATCTCCTCATCTATCTCACTTTAAAGAAATTAGGAAAAAAAAGTGTTAACAAGTTTTTTTTTTTTTTTAAGATAGGTCTCAGCCTTGATAGAGTTATTTTGGAATAAGACATATTTTTGTCCCGTGGTTTAGCATACCAAAAACAAAACAAAACCAACACAAAATTAAAACAAACTGAAGTGCCTTTAGTCGACATCATCCTTATTTCTTTCTCCAGTTCCTCATCAGCTTAGTGCTTTCAGTTTCTTGTCATGATCTCTGCTTGTCCAGAAGTGTGCCCTACCTTTGGGTAACTTACAGTTTTTTGTTTGTTGTTTTGTGCATTTTGGGGATTGTAACTTATGTTTTTCTTTTTTTAGCCTCTCACTCACAGGTTAATTAGAGCTTTTGAAATTTTTTCCTTTTCTTTTTTGTGATTGAGCTAGTTTAGGATGAGTGGAGGAATTCTTGCTTTCCCATTGTGTATGAGAAAGGCATACATGTTTGGAGTTGGATGCCGCCTCCTTCTTGGGTTTAGATATTACTCCTTTATGGAGTCCTTGTCTAAATCTACAATAGACAATTTTTAGGTGCCTCATTCACCTAGTCCTGAGAGTGTTTCATCTCTTATGCTTGGTTGGCACTCCAGTCACACTTGTGCCTGGCAGGGTAGCTACATTTGCAACAGATTGACTTCTGATGGCTGAAGGCCTTAAAGCCACAGTGGCACAATGTGTGTCTTTTTATGATGACATTCAATGATGTTCCCTTGTCATCTTCCTTCTGCTAATCAGACCAGAGAGACCATGTCTTAGTTAGGTTTCTTTTGCTGTGATAAAACACTATGACCAAACGCAGTTTGGGGAGGAAAGGGATTATTTCACTTTATACTTCCTTATCATAGTCCGTCATTGAAGTAAGTCAAGGCAGGAACTCAAGGCAGGAACCTGGAGGCAGACACTGAAGCTGAAGCCTTGAAAGAATGCTCCTTACCGGCTTTTCTCATGACTTGCCCAGTTTGCTTTCTTATATATCCCAAGATGGTTCTGCCCACTTGGGTTGAGCCCTCTCACTTCAATCATTAGTAAAGAAAAGCCCTACAGGCTTTCCTCCAGACCAGTCTGATGGAGGCATTTTCTCAAAGTTCTTTTTCCCAGATAACTGTAGCTTGTGTTAAGTACACACACACACACACACACACACACACACACACACACACACACACACACACACACACAACCTTAGCAAACACAAACCAGAACTATATTTTTTTCTTTTGAGAAGTTAAGATTAGTGGCTGGGCCGGGCGGTGGTGGCGCACGCCTTTAATCCCAGCACTCGGGAGGCAGAGCCAGGAGGATCTCTGAGTTTGAGGCCAGCCTGGGCTACAGAGTGAGCTCCAGGGAAGGCGCAAAGCTACACAGAGAAACCCTGTCTCGGAAAAACAAAAAAACAAAAAACAAACAAACAAAAAAAGATTAGTGGCTGGGAGATGGTTCATAGGGTAAGCAAGGACCTGAGAGTTTGAATCCTTAGCATTCTTTTTTTTTTTTTTTTTTTTTTTGGAGACAGGGTTTCTTTGTGTAACAGCAGCTCTGGCTGTCCTGGAACTCACTTTGTAGACCAGCCTGGTCTTGAACTCTCTGAGATCTGCCTGCCTCTGCCTCCAGAGTACTGGGATTACAGGTGTGTGCCACCACCAACAGGCTTTCCTTAGCATTCTTCTGTAAAAAGCCAGACAGAGCCAGATGGTGGCAGAGGCAAGTGCATGCACGCCTTTAATCCCAGCACTGGGGAGGCAGAGGCAGGTGGACGTCTGAGTTCGAGGCTAGCCTGGTCTACAGAGTGAGTTCCAGGACAGCCAGGGCTACACAGAGAAACCCTGTCTCAAAAACAAAAACAAAAAACAAAAAAACCCAAAACAAACAAAAAGCCAGACATGGTCTTGTATGCTGGTAACAGTAAGGTTTTATGGGACTCAGTCTTAACTTTTCTTTTTTCTTTTTTTTTTTTTTTTTTTGGTTTTTCGAGACAGGGTTTCTCTGTGTAGCTTTGCGCCTTCCCTGGATCTCGCTCTGTAGACCAGACTGGCCTCGAACTCACAGAGATCTGCCTGCCTCTGCCTCCCGAGTGCTGGGATTAAAGGCGTGCGCCACCACTGCCCGGCTTAACTTTTCTTTTTTTACACAATTTATTAATTTTGTGTGTCTGAGTGTTTTGCCTGTCCGTATGTATGTGTGCCATGTCAGTGCCTGGTGAAATAGGAGTTCAGAAAAAGCTGTTGAGATCCTCTGGAACTAGAGTTAAGGATGGATGTGAGTTACCTGTATATACTGGGAACTAGACTTGGGTCCTTTGCCACGAGCAACAAGTGCTCTTAACTGCTGAGCCATCTCTCCAGCCCTGGACCCAGACAGTTTTAGTAAAGATTTGAAACACTTTGCGGGGACCAAGGCTTCAGGCTATACCAGAGTGCAGTAGTTGACTGTATTGTAATATTTCTGTTTAGTAAAATTATATGTGTGTGAAATTGCTTTAAAAGAAAACAAAAAGGTGGGCGGTGGTGGCACACAGCTTTAATTCCAGCACTGGGGAGACAGAGGCAGGCGGATCTCTGAGGATAGTCAGAGCTACACAGAGAAACCCTGTCTTGAAAAACAGACAGACAGACAGACAGACAGACAAAATTAATAATAATAAAAAGGCCTGGTAAGATAGTAAGGGTAAAGGTACTTCCCGCCAAACCTGATGACCTGAGTTCCATTCCAGGACCCACAGGGAAGAAGGGGAGAATCTGCTTTTGCACGTTGTCTTTTGATTGTCACATGTATGCTGTTGCATGCATGTGTCATGTGTCATTTGTGGTTCCTTTCCCCTTCTGCCAATAAATACATGTGATGATAATAATTGTAATAATAAGCCCTTCAATCATATAAACTTGTCTTTCATTAAAAAAATAAAAATAATTAAAAAAATTGTTCCTTTGTTACTTCTGTGCTATCATGGAGCGGCAATCTTAGATGCCGTTAAGGTTAGTAGTCTTTCTACTTTCATGGAGGATAGAGGTGAGCGAACACAGGCCAGCCCAGGATGAGCTTTCCACTGTGCATGTAGAACATTGGTGGTTCAGTCCTGGAATTCTTGCCTTCCCATTGTGCATGTAGGCAGGCATATGGAACTGCTAGTGAATGGTTTGGAACTGCTAGTGAATGGTTTGGAACTGCTAGTGAATGGTTTGAATGGTGCAGACCTTCTCCTCCTTGCAGTGAGTCTTGGTTTTTGTGTTTGTGGGTAAATGTTAACTACTTCTGACTTGTTCTGTCTCTTCTGCTCTTATAATTGATAAGATACTTCTCTAGATAAACTTTTGTTTTTGCATTTTGAGACATGTATTTTGTAGTCCTTAATGTCCTTGAGTTCCTGATTCTGTTATTTCTACCTTCCAAGTATTGGGATTATAAACATGAGCTAACACACCTGGTCTGTGTAGTGCTGGAGATCAAATCAGGGCTTTGTGCTTGGTAAGCAAGAACTGTCAGCTGAGCTCCATCAAGCTGTTTTTTGGTTGTGACTATGTTTCAACACTTACCTTTCAGATTTGCCTGTTTTCTGGAACTATTTTTTGAAAGCTCATTAGATATATTAGATGAACGATATGTTTATTCCAGTCCAGAGTATAGTTGGCTAGGAA